AGTCAACCAAGCCTGAAGTTAAAGGGAAATGTCACCAATGTGTATCCCAAGGAAATGACACCTGCTCACACTGCTTCCGATGTGGAAAAGAGGGACACAGAGCTATTGGCTGCTTACAAAAGGGAACTCTGTCGGGAAACCGGGTGAGGTCGCTGGGGAGGGACCACCAGTGACCTTGGAGAATTCAGAGTCCCCAATCCCAGAGAAGCTGCACCCCAAAGAGAAAATTCCATCTTCAACCAAGACCTCCAAATCATGTCAAGTGTCCAAAAGGGAGCGTGTTGCCCAGCTGATTGGGGGCAGGTGTATGGTAACTTGTTATCTAGATGGGGTCAAACTTCAAATGTTGTTGGATAGTGGGGCCCAAGTAAGCATTGTGGAGAAGTCTTGGGTGCAAAAGGCCTTGCCAAATGTGACAATTAGGCCACTGGAAAGCCTACTCTCAAATCACCCACTCAAAGTCACTGCAGCTAATGGGACAGATGTGCCGTTTGAAGGGTGGATAGAAGTTTTTCTTGAGATCACAAGTAGCAGTCATGGCTCAGTTGCTATTCATGTTCCCATGCTAGTAAGTCGAGGAGGGTTGAGCAGCCCGCTACTAGGCTTTAATGTGATACAAGAGATGATTGCAGGGAATGGTGATCAAAGAGATGACGGCAACTTAGTGAGTCTCCTTTCAGAAGCCCTGAGAATTCAGAAGAGTAATGCTGAAAGTCTTGACTCACGATTCCCTGCAGTTAGATCTGTCAGGTGAAATGCCGCATGAGAGCTTTTCCTGGAGGAGGAGTCATGTTGTTTGAGCCGAATGTAGACTGTCGCTTGCCGGATGGGTTGGAGTTATTTCCTGCGCTCGTTGATGTGCCGGCTGGCGCCTCAAAAATAGTGAGAATACCAATCCACTAAGTCAGTCTCTTTGGGGGACGCCGACTCCTCGGCAAGTTCTTCCTTGGTTCACTGGGTCTGGGAGGTGAGTGGTTGCCCCTGGCAATTTCATTCCCCCTCCATTCTTCACTCTCTTGTCCTGCCCCTGTGTCCTTTTCCTCTGGTCCTGTGGGGGCAAGTGATCCATTTGCTGTTTCAGGTGAAACTCCCTCCACACCTCCTTCCAGGCTATCAGCCTCTCTGTCCTCGATTGTGTCCGACTCTTCCCCCTGTCTGATTATTTCACCAGCCTGCTCTCCACTGTCCTCTATGTCCTCAATCTCCCAGCTCTCCTCCGTGTCGAGCTGCATTTCCTCCCTTGTCTCCTCTCCCACCTGCTCCACGGGAAGAAACATACACTGTGTGAGTAAGTTGCGGTGGACCACTCTCTCCATATCACCATTTCCGATCGCACCACATACACCGGCATGTCTGGCTGTTTCTTCACCATGTATGGACATGACTCCCACTTGTCTCCTACTTTGCATCGCCCCTCCACATGACACACTTTAACAAGGACTCTGTCACCCGGGCTGAAGCTTTGACTCTTTGCTTGCCGGTCATAGTATCTTTTCCGGTGACCCTTAGCCTGGCGAGAGGCCTGATTAGCCTGTCCATAAGCCTGTGACAGGCAGTCATGCAGGGTCTGGACATAATCGCTATATCCACCCGACCCATTAGTGGTTGACAGCCCAAAAACCAAGTTGACAGGAAGCCGGGGATGCCTGCCAAACATTAAGTAGTATGGTGTGTACCCTGTCGAATCATGGCGGGTGCAGTTGTAGGCGTGTGTCATTGCATCCACATATAATGATAATGGATTGGATTTATATAGCGCTTTTCAAGGCACCCAAAGCGCTTTACAATGCCACTCTTCATTCACTCTCACATTCACACACTGGTGGAGGCAAGCTACAGAGGCAAGCTGGGAAGGGATTCCATCCCCACATCCCTGCAAGGCTCAGTGGATGTAGGGGGGGCGAGTTCAACTTCCTCCCCTGCAGACGTGCCATGGCCAGTGAGGCTTTGAGTATCCTGGGTAGCCTGTCTCACACCATACCCCTGTTCGTTGACACCCAGCCACTGAGGGCATGTCTGTAGGATGTGCATGACCTCCTGGTTAGACATGCAAGAGAGGGCATCAGCGTTTGTGTTGCTCTGTGCCCTCCGATACTGGACATCAAAATCGAAAGCAGCCAGCCTAGACACCCACCGCTGGCCTGTAGCATCCAGCTTTGCTGAGGACATAACATATTTGAGAGGGTTATTGTCTGTCTGGACAGAGAACCTACGCCGATAGAGGTGGTCGTAGAATTTGTCTGTGACTGCCCATTTGAGAGCAAGGAACTCGAGTTTGTGTGCAGGATACCTTGTCTCTGCTGGGCTCAAACCTCTGCTGGCGAAGGCTATGACCCTCTCAGCTCCCCCTTGGACCTGAGCTAGAACGGCGCCCAGACCTTCCCCTGAGGCGTCCGTTTGCAGAACGAAAGGCAAGCTATAATCAGGATATCCCAGCACTGGAGCGCTTGTCAGCCTTTCTTTAGGGTCTCAAATGCCTTCTCGCATTCATCTGTCCACACAAAAGGTGGATCGGTGGCCAGACTTTTCTTTCCCCCTCGCTTTTTCTTTCTGGGGTCACCAGCAGTTAGGCGGTACAGGGGAGCAGCTAGGGTAGAGTACCCACTTACATACCGCCTGTAGTATCCAGCAAATCCCAGGAATTGCAACACTTCTTTGCGGTTTGTGGGCCTCACCCAGTTTTTCACCCTGCTGATCTTCTTTGGGTCTGTCCAGATCCCCTCAGCAGACACCAAGTGACCCAAATACTGAACCTCCTTTCTCACAAGCTGGCATTTAGAGGGCTTTAACTTCAAGCCATGCTGCAGTCTTTCCAGATGCTCATCAAAGGTTTTGGAGAATATGATGAGGTCATCAAGATAGATTAGGAGGTGGGTGAAGTTCAGATCGCCAAAGCAGCAGGCCATGAGTCTCTGAAAGGTGGAGGGAGCATTCTGCAGTCCAAAGGGCATACGATTTGCTTCAAACAGCCCCATAGGGGTGCTGAATGCCGTCTTGTGTTTGTCATGCTCCGCCACCTCTACCTGCCAATAACCAGAAGTGACGTCAAGGGTGGAGAAGTATCTTGCCTGCCCTAGAGCCTCCAGGGCTTCCTCTATTCTGGGGAGAGGAAAAGCATCTCTCGTGCTACAGGAGTTCAGTTTCCTGTAGTCAATACACAGCCTTAGTGATCCATCTTTCTTGGTTACGATCACGACAGGTGAAGCATATGGACTTTTGCTGGGCCTGATAACTCACGCTGCCTCCATTTCTGTCAGCAACCTTCTCACATCCTGCCACTGTGATGGGGGGATCTTACGGTAAGGCAGTCGAAATGGCTTAGAGTCGACCAGAGGGATTTCATGTTGCACAGTCTTTGTATGGCCATAATCCATGGGGTGCTGTGAGAACACACCTATGTTCCTTTCCACAAGCTCTTTAAGAAGGGAACGCTGGTGCTAGTTTTCGACATCTGCTCCACTTAAATCCACTTCCTGGCTTGCCACAACGTGGTCCATACCCAGGCATGCTTCTCTGCCTCCGCTAATGTGATGACTGCCCCACACCCTGTCTGAAAAGTCCACAATATTTTCCACCAGAGATGCCTTGGCCAGATGCGTGTGAGGCTTGATAGTGATAGCATGCTGGGAGAGGTTCATCACTCTTACCAGGGCACATCCTTTCTTTACATCAGCAAGAACTCTGGTGACAAGGATGTCTTGGCTGAGCTGCAGGGAGGGGTGGCCTTCAATTAGGGCTGTATGAGTCTTTCTTTGTGGTCTAGCTTTGTAAAGAGAGGATTCGCTAACGCTTTTGGCTAAACAAGTAATTTGTACTGTTATTGTGTATTTGTCCTCATCTATGATTTCTAAGAGCATTTCATGTTGTTTCTCAGTTTTACCCTACTTCAACTGGCCTAAGTAAAGGGAGTGAAGTCAAACCCTCTTGTCTGCGTGGTCATTTTGAAGAGGAGTTTAGATTGAATGTCGACTCTAGCAAGGCGTTAGAGGCAGAGGACATTACAGCTATATTTAAAAAAACAGAAGTTACATTGTCAGTACAGTGGAAATACATTTCACATAAATAATTTAGTGCTGAACAAGAATTAAAATTTTTAAAAACGAGTTAATTTTATGATGTTTGTAAATGTAGTTAAAAATGAAGTACAGAAGTATTGTGTTTTGTTTATCTTTGTGAAATAAGTGTTATTGTGATACATTGTGGATCTGATATTATCAATGGATTTAAGCAACATTTTGTTCATGTTTTGTCAAAGTTTTATTGAGAGATTTATACAGTCTCTAGCTCAGGGAACTGTGGCCATGTATGGTAAACTGGACTGAAGCATAAGGCCATTTCTTTGCAGTTAGTGTGGTGATACCTGAAGCTGTTCTAAGCTGTTATGAAGAATAAACCTTCCTGTTGTGAAACTGACATCACCTCAACGTGTGTCCCCTTTTCTATTCTTTATCACAGCACCACACGTTGTCGAACAGGAAGCCAGTTGCCCCTCTGGTTATCATCTTAGGGAGGCAACATGAGCATTTCTGTAAAAGCACTTAAAAAGTGCACTTTTGCTGGTCTGGAGCATCTGTGGGTGTGTTTACAGATTGCCAAGGGGGAATAACATCAGCTGTGGTCTCAGATAAACAATTGTTACTGCCCATCAGTCTGGTTAAGGTTATAAGGCTATTTCCAAAACATTTCAAATTAATCACTCTACAGTGGAAAATATTATTTACAGATGGAAAACATCCAAGACAGTCGCCAGTCTTCCCAGGAGTGGACATGCCAGTAAATTCACCCCAAGGTCAGACTGCAACACTTGGTAACTACAAAGCCCGCCAAGAGCTACACCTCAGGCTCAGTTAGCTTGCTTAAAGATAAAGTTGATGACAGAACACTTTGAAAAAGATTGAACAAGTAAGACTTGTTTTTAAAGTCTTTTTTTCAGGTGAAAATTTTTACATTTCATTTGGCAATCAGGGTCCTCGAGTCTGGAGGAGAGGTGTAGTAACTCAGAATCTAAGATGTTTGTGAAGTTTCCAGTATCTGAGTGGAGAAATCAGAGTCTGGAGTGTACTCTGATTACTTCACAGCACAGTGGGAGAGAGGTGGTGCTCTAGGGACTGGGATTGTTTGACTCCTTGTGTCATTCACCACACTCACCGTGGAGTACTTGATTGCTGTTGATGACCTATGAGATTTGAGTACCTATCCTACCAAAACCTGTTTATAGGCAGAATGTGGATGAAGAGACTGAAGATTTAGAGAGATTTAGAGTGGAATTTTCATGTTTGGTTGAGGTTGTTCAATGTCTGTAAGTGGCAAAGGAGGGTGGGTGGTGGAGACTGGACATGAGTCTAATGTCACAGTCAGGAATTCCTTATTCTAAACTTACCCTTCAGAATTAAACACAAGAGACACATTCAACTTTTAATATATTTTTAATTTAGAATATCCTTTTGATGGTCACCATGTCTGAAAAAATAGCAGGTTTATGGAAAATGACTGATTACTTTAGATAAACAAGATTTCCAATACTGAGATTTTATGTAGAGAACCACAGAGGAAAGTTTATGAGTAAACTTTAAACTTTGTGTCTTCAGTAGCCTTTATAGAACACAAAGGGTCACACAACAGCTCCTGGATGATGAACTAGTTCTGCCTCTAGAACGACATCTAGGACAAACGCTGCCGTTAGCTCCAGGATATGCAAATGGTAATAAGGGAGTTAGAGGAGTAAAAATACACTGTAGCAAGATGCAGTAACATGTAAGGCTAGGATGTACATGATCTAAAAGTGACAGCTTATAAAACACAGATATTTCTTTGTAAATTACTACGTGCCTGACCACTGCTATTTTTTTCTTGTGTGGTTAGTGAATAGTGAATCATTAATGCAGATGAAATAAACCAGCACAGAACATAACAGCATTAGTAACAGTATGTGAGCATAGAGTATCTCCAATGTGTCTCAGTCACGCCAGCTGAATTTCATTAATTTAATAGCAGTGTAATCGCGGATGCAGATTAGTGTTTAATGACATGTATCTAACCTGATAAGTAAACATCTCTCATAGTTGGACCAATTGAAAAAAAAAAAGCCTTAAATGTTTGGAAAAACGGGCCTGAAATAAGTGAAAAGCAATCAAAACAGTTCTGTTTTATGAAAAGTACATTTTAATGGAAAATGTCTGCAGCAATAACTCTGACAGGTAGGCTAGTGTAAGGAGTTTAAATGTTTAATGTCCTGCTGGAACTCAAAGGTCAACCACGTGATGATGGTACAGCCTGAGTCACTGATAGTGAACAGTCTGATTGCTGTCACGCCACCATCCATGATCGATACGTCATTTAACCTTTTAGGTGTCTGTGGTCTTTTTTGAAAATGGTGACGGCAGCACCGTCCACTCCTGAACTGCACTGCATATGATGCAAATAATTAAATCAGATACTCTTTGCATGTTGAGTAGATTGTCTTTAATAAATTCATTACAAAAGTGTCAAGTGTTTATTTTCATTTACACACACTATTTCATCAAATAAATCACCCTTTTGAGCACCTAAACATGCTCAAACTCTTAACATTTTGTAACACAGAGATTGAGTTATGCATATTAAAATTAATAACAGATCCATATGTAAACATTAAATCACAATCATAGCGCCACCTAGTGGCAACAGAAACTGTCATGTTTTACACTTCGGAGGACTGGGTGGTTGACCTGAGCTATCTAAAATTTGGTCAGAAAAGCCTCAAGGAGTTGGTATTGCTTTATTTTGAAAACAGTCAGTTTCTAACAAAGGGTGTGACCCTGGTGCAAATTTTGATATTTCGAATGAAACACAACCTTGCTTTAACTCAGACAGATTGTCCAGTCCTGACCTGAACACATCAATAGCAAGCAATAGTGAGAGCACCACCTAGTGGCAACACAAAATGATGTTTTATACTCTGATGTAGTGCTACACTCAGGCTGACCACATCCAATTCAAAAGCAGTCTGAATAAACTTCAGACCTTCATGGTGCTTTATCATGAACAGTGTGATTTCTCATTCAACAGTGGGAATTCAGCATAAAGAAATAAGTTGCTGTTGAGGGGCTTGAAAAACCTAAGAAGTCATGAAAACTGGTACACGCCTCCAAACTGATAAAGGCTTTCATGTTTTATGGGTCATAGTGCCACCTACAAAATTATTATTATTATTTTTAAAATGTAGTGTTATGTGTAGTTAAATGTTACAAGTGTTTATACTGTAACATTTCATCCATGTGTCTGAAATTTAGCAGCCTTGTGGAATGTCCTGACAACTTCAAAAAAGTCTCTTGGAGCCATATCTTAAACCCAACAGGAAGTCAGCCACTTTAAATGTCAGGTGTAATTCTGGCATTTTCACAATTTTCAGGCTTTGTACTTTAACTCCTCCTGGATTGGATCAACACTACCTTTGGTGAGTTGAATCTAAGCCTTGGCGATGTTAAACTCTGAAGCTTTTGAGTTTTTGTGAAAGGGCTTTTTTGTAGCTAGCTGTGTGCCAGAATTTTGATCATTCCCCACTGGACATGAAATCTCAACTAAATCTTAAGTAACTTTTGTCCCATCTTACCCACACTTCACATGATTGATTAGAGTCCATGTCTGGAGACATCTATGTGCCAGTATCAGGTCACCCTTATGGCACCTCCTATTGGCAATAGGTGATAATTATCCCATGTCTTTCCCCAGGACACTGACAAAGAACTGAAGCCTGCTATGTAAAAGAGTTTTGCTCTCTCTTCTTCCCATTCAGTTGAGCAATTTTCTTGCATATATGCTATAATTTACAAGCATCCATGCACCCACTACACTACACTTGTTCTAAAATTTTCAGTCAGTTTAATTACATATATTTTGGTCCTATAAACTCTGTGGTCTTTTTGGTCTCTCCTTTTGTCTGAATTCTGGGTTGACTCATGACAAAATGAGGTCTTGTCCTCTTTAAAAACAGACTGGTTTAGTGGGTTTTAGCCTGCTTTTCAGTGGCATTAATATCATTTGAACTTTCCTGGTAGGGGGCTCGAAGGGGACGTATCTGACAGTGTAATTTATTTAGAGAGATTCATTGGTATCTTTGGGGGGGAGAGAGCTAAGTCACTGGTTGTTCAGGTAGTTTGTTTGTTGGTGCATTCAATTGGTTCTTTACAAAATGTGCTACTGCCATTCAATTCTGTATGTTTCACTTTAAACAGTAAATATGTTTTCTTTGTTCTATTATAAATAAAATGCAGGCTTATGAGATTTGCAAATTATTGCAGTTTAAAAAAATCAGTTTTATAATATTATATTTTATAATTTGCGTCAGACTTTTTTAAATTGAGGCTTTAATTAGAAAAGGTGAACTTCACAATAGATAAGGCACAAGAGTCTATTTTCAATCACTGTAGACCTGTAAAATGTTCCCTACAGCTGGAATAAAGTATTATAAAGTTCATTAGTTAAGATCAATATGTATACACACACACACACACACACACACACACACACAGATGTTGTTCAGACACAATATCACAGTATTGGTTCAGCATACTGCTTACACAGTGTTGACTATTTCCCAGACTGGCTACCATCAGAGTTTCAGAGTGATCAGAGTTATTTAGTCAGTCAGGAAGCAGTCTGCCCGTCTCATTAGCCAGCCTCCAGTACCTCTTCCTCAAGAGGAACGCTGCCGCCTTGGGCTGCCTTTGCCGGGTGAAAATACCCTTCTTGTTCCCCACCACACGATAGATTCCTGAAGACACAACACAGTTTGACAAGAACACTGTCACAGTGCAGAATATAATAAGCTGAATAAATAAAGCTCTGGTTTTTAACCTAATGGCTGCTTCCCTAGAGCTTCAGCTATTGTTGTATTTAACTGCAGTTCTGGCTCTACAGGTTGCTTTATTTTGAAGCTGCAGTACCTTGTGATGTCATGAAGTCTGCAAAGTTCCAGATGAGTTCACCAATGAAATACTGATTCCTCTTCTGGTCGAACACATCATGGTAGCTCTGCAGGAGAGCATTCTGGTACTCCTCAGTGAACATCATGGGTGGATCCTAAAAAGTGACAGTAAGACTTGTTAAAGGTGCAGAACTGACTTGTGAGTGAGTGGAGTGAGTTAGTGAGTGAGTGTATTCTTACCATGTGAAGCCCTGGAACTGCATCTGCTCCATATTCACTCTGGATGATGGGTCTCTGGTACTTTCTGTACCAGTTTTCAAAATGAGTGCTCAGCTGAAGAGGAATGATATCCAACCGGCCTTGATCAAAATACCAGGCAAAGTAACTGTTTGCACACACTACATCTACATAGGGACCCTAGAGAAAAAAAATAACCCAGAAAAGGATTCAGAAGTATTCTTCAACATGGTTATGATTTACAATTATTTATTAAATATTTATGACACAATTTTCTTGCAATCACCCTTTAAATAATAAAATCTGTAAGGTGCTTTTTATCAACCAGTTTCAAGTTGGGTAAATGAGTGCATGCCGCTTCTGTTTTAAAATAAACACCATGCCCCACACTGACATGCATTAATGTTCCTCGGTCCACTGCATTAAACTGGAGGCTCTGCTCTTCATCTCTTCATTGCCTAGGTGAATCGTGGTATCAGAACTCCACTCTCAGTTTAGGATAACAACCGCATCATAGGAGTCAAGACGAAGCACATATAATCTTACTGTATGCAGATGATGTTTTACTATACTAACAGAACCACACTCGTCATTATCTCCATTGAAGAATTTTATCTCTGAATTTCGTCTTTACTCAGCGTATAAGATCAATACAGACAAAACTGAGGAAATGGATGTAAACAATAATATTCCAAAGAGGGTGAAACATACTCCTTGTTCATATGTCCTTGTCCTTGATGTAAATATGTAAAAATTGTGTATGTTTCTGTTCTGTGTCTTGTGTACTGTTTGTTTGTATATGTGTCTTTCTTGCTGCTGTTACACCCACATTTCCCCTTGTGGGACAAATAAAGGATTATTATTCTATACGCAGTTGACTAAATTTACTTACTATGACTTATTAGGACTTAAAAAGAAAAATCAACATGGGTTTTGTGAGCTGCTCATCTGGTGTTAATTAACTAACTTAGTTAAATTGCTATCTTGAGCAGGGCACAGACCTGAAGCACTCAATGTGATTCATTTCACTTAGTACAAACTTCACCTTTTAACATGATTATAACAGAGGTGCTACTTAGCAAATTCTGTTACACTATTATCATCAACGATGTGTCAAATAAAAAGTCTGGAAACTGAAAAAAGAAAGGGATGTGCAGACTTTGTTTAATATGTGATGTTGACATTGATTGATTGAATCTTTATTTTGAACATGTTGAAAAAGTACAACAAAATAGAATTAAAAGAGACAAATGAACAAAGCAAACAAAAGGAAAACGAGCAACCACAACTCCAAATAACTTTCATGTTCAAAAAGGAGCAGGAAGAAGCATAAGCTTATTTAATCCCACCCCTTTTCCACTATCTAGTATCAATAGACTACAGAAATACCTCCTTGCAATTACATTATATGTCATGTGTATTTATTTTTTTTAATATATATACATATATGTTTCTATCTATCCATACATACGTATATACACATACGCACATATACACATTTTCAATAACCCCATTAACACCTCAAGGATACACAACCTACAAATATATATATATACCCATACCAACATACCCGTGCACCCGCACACACATGAAAATATTAGACAACACCCTATCAAATCTCTCCCTTTTCCCTGTACCCTGTAAAAACCATATCCTTAAACCGCTTTTTAAACTGCGCCATGCTCGGACATTGCTTCATATCTTTACTTAGTCTGTTCCACAGCTTCACTCCACACACAGAGATGCAAAAACTTTTTAATGTTGTACGGATACGAGGATGTTTTAAAATTGAACTCCCCCCTCAAATTATATCCCCGTTCCCTTTTAATTAGTGTGAAGGATGAAGAAACTCACCCCTTTGTCCATGTCAGCTGCAGCGATTGTGACGTAAGTGACAGGTCGGGTTTGGTCCAGAGCTTTGGTGTGCTCAATCAAAGTCCTGTAAGGGGGTAGAAAAAAAAGGAAGTGATTTGATGTTGGGCTCAAATCAGCAAAAGATGTGTCTTGAAATGCAGCTGTACTAAATACAGGAAATGCCGTCTGGGACATACCAAGTGTTGCTACATTATGGGGAATTGGCTGGAATTATTGACTTTAAATGTTAAATTTCCTTCCTTAGTTGGACATTTAGTTGTCTTATTTCTGTTTGGTTAAAATAAATGTTTGTTTCTTAATAATTACATTAGTGTTTGTCTCTAAGTTCTTCTTTGCTTGTTTTTTTTAAATTTTTTTTAGCTCAATTGTTTGTTGTTTTATGCTCAATTTAGTTTGGTTTTAAATGTTAGTTTGTTATATTTTGTTGCCATTACAATTAGGGCCAGGAGGATACAGAATATTTAAGCTCAACATGATATTTAATAAATTATAAAGCCGATATTCCAAAATATCAGCCAATTTTTATTTATTTGATCATTTTTTCCTCTCTCAAACATGACTTGTTTATACTACACTCTGCTTGGATCAGCTGGTTTTTGTGTTTGTGGGGTTCCAAACAACAGGGACGTTGCAGAGTTGCACCTTCTAATGGCTGAACTATGCAAAATCAGCACTCTACTTTTTAAAAAAAATTAATTCATCACTTCAGCTCGAATTAGTTCTGTTCACTTAATTTCTTAGGGCTCCATGATCACCTTTTGGGTTTTTTGCTTTTTTTTGTAAAACAAAATCCACTTTTTAAAAAACTACATTATGTTACTCATGCCTAACTAGCTTTGTCCCTCATACCAGCTATCAGATGGATATCAGATGCTACAGACAAACTGATCTTTTCTACCAGGATTTTAAGAGTTATTACTGTTACACCTTCAGTGTGATAAAGCACATATTTGAGAAGTAGAATAAACATCAGAATTTACATTTTCAAACAAACGGAATAATCCAACATCATGTTGCTAGTGATGACTATTTGAAGGGTGGCAATAATTGGAGCTTTACACCTCAAAAGAAAAATAACCTGTACTCACTTGAAATAAAATTCAGCAGGAGGCATCTCTGAGGCGGGCTCATTGGCTACCGACCACATGACCACAGAGGGATGGTTCTTGTCCCGGCGCACAAGCTCGTCCATGACAACCAAGTGGTGAGACAGAGAGGCGTTTCGAAAACTGCGACTATCAGCAAGGCACAAAAGAACACAACTCAGCCTGAGCTGAAAGACTAACGACTCAGATCCATCCACACTGCAAGATGTGAAGACCTAACTCACAACTGTTCTGCTTTCCAGTAAAGTTCAGCTATTGTGAGTTAGTCTTTTATTATAAAATGTAATATTATGAGTACTGTACACATTCAGGTCAGAAACATGTGGACAAAAGTCAGTTAAAAAAATATGAAAAAAACCCCACTCCAATTTGTCAAAGGAGCTTGCAAAGAAAAGTGTCTGGACTTCTTTAAGTTGCTTGAAGACGTTTCACCTCTCATCTGAGAAGCTTCTTCAGTTCTAAGGTCAAATGGTGGAGATGTAAAAATACTGAAATTGTTACTTTACAGTATCAGAATCAGAATACTTTATTGATCCCTGGGGGAAATTATTTTTTTGCTAGATGACCAGATGCTGGGGGCAGAGGAAGCATGTGGAGAGTCCCAGATAGTCCCACTCCAATTTACAGTTTTTTCTGAATGCTTAAACCCTAACTGTGATTCCTGTAGCACAATCTCTAAAACTATTCAGACTTATAGCAAAACCACTCACTGAGTTTGCAAAACTAAAAGCACAAAAACTGCTTTGCACTCAGTTTGCAATTTTGTAACACACACTTTGCAAAACTGTAGGCACAATTCACTGCACAACACTCAATTACCAAATTTCCAACACACTCCTAGCAAAAGTATACACATGTATGGCTATCATTAACACTAATTTGCCAACTGTCTGGCACACTTTCACATGTGAAAACTTTTTTAGATAATTAGTTCACTTTGCAATCAGCCTAAGCACTATAATACAGGTAAGCTGTGTGTGCGGAGTACAATGGAGGGAGCAGAAAGAGTGAGAAGTAGAGGAGGCCGAGGAAGAGGACGTGGAGGTGAAGAAGTAGGATGAAGAGGACGACAAGGACAAGGAGGAGCAAGAGGAAGACGAGGAGGGGGGAGAGGAAGGGTAGGAAGAGTAAGAAATAGAATTGCTGATGACATCAGAGCTACAATAGTGGACCATGTAATCAACCGTGGAATGACCCTGAGGGTAGCTGGCCAACGGGTCCAGCCTAACTCGAGCCGCTACACTGTAGCAAGCACCATAAGGACATCTTGAAATGAGAATCGGTTAGTACAGTCACTTCGCACAAAGATTTGTAGCACTGCCATATGCCAATGAGAAACACACCAATACCATTGATGTAAAAATACTGAAATTGTTACTTTACAGTATCAGAATCAGAATCAGAATACTTTATTGATCCCTGGGGGAAATAATTTTTTTGCTAGATGACCAGATGCTAGATGACCAGATGCTGGGCAGAGGAAGCATGTTCACTGCAGACCAAGTAACCCATATAGTCATTATGGCGATTGCAAATAATCCTATACTTGGAAATAAACACTTGTGTTTGTTTTGATGTGTTTGAATAAACACCAGTACTTGAAGTTTGGATCCCTCTATGCTTATGGATCTATGACAGAAGTATGAGCTCAAACTGACATAGCCTACCTTGTGCACAGAGAAAGCAAAAGCCAGATGTGTTTTGTATTCATACCATCAGTGTGCAGTTGGCGCATTGTGTGCTTAGTAGATGATGGCTTGTGTGTACTGTTTGATACGGAAACACCATTTTTACGAAGGTGTGAAGAGTTAATCTAGCTGTGTTTGCTTTTGCAAGAGAACTACAATGTTTTGATTATTGGGTGACAGGTTTTCTTATTTGTGTGAAGAGTTTTGCAAAATTAGCCAATAGTTACAAAAAATGTGCTTAAGCAATCAGAAAAAACTGTAAACATGTGTATGGCAGACAGTCATCTTATTGTCTAATACTGTCAGGGTCCTCTGAGCAATTATGGACTAATATTATAATGTATGTATTTTGTATTGCTGTCCCTCGTTCTCCCTGCTTGTAGACATATGTGCATGTAGGTGTGTGTGTGTGGCCCTGGCAGGTGATTGGCCACACCTGAAGACCTTGACACACCTGCAGTTGATCAGGCCTGTCGGAGGAGCTACTTGAGAGTGTGGTGGAGCTCTCTCCGATGCTGGATCATTGCGTGGCTTCACGTTAGTCTCTCGACCAGTTCTTAGTTTGAGTCTCCTGCATTATTGTGTGTCTGACAGCTGCCTCTCTTTTATGTCCCCAGGAGTAGCGGGAGACGAGAGGGCAGCGAGCACGGGGTGCTCATCATGGAGAAGCGGAGACAGGAGCACTAACACTGGGAAGAGGACACGTCACGGGAGTCGGGAGAGCACGGGATTTATTGTCATGTTTTTCCATCACTGTAAATAAACGCACTGTCTATACACAGAGCACCGCGCCTGGGTCCTCATTCCCCATATCCCCACGGTCTGCCAGCCAGACCATGACAGATACACTGTGTGACATAGCTGTAATTAACTTAGGAATGAAGTCAAGTTTGATATGCAGACTGAATGCTTATAGCCTATGACAATCACATGTCATTTCATGCAGTATTCCTATTGGTCACAATAGTGTGTAACATTTTTTGGCAATTCTAACTTGGGCAGCATGAAGTTCATAAAGAGTTTCAGCAGGGGTGGTGTTGGACAGCATGTGCAGTTTTCTCTATGTCTTCATATGCTGTGGCAAACAGAATCTTTCACTTTTGACCTTACTGAACCCTCAAACATATCCAAAGGTCACACAGATATGTGTGGTAACACTTACATGTCTTTGATGCCAACACCTGGGCACTCATCTATCACCACAATCCCATGACGGTCACACATCTGCAGGATCTCCTCAGCATAGGGATAGTGGCTGGTACGGAATGAGTTGACCCCTAACCACTTCATTAAATTAAAGTCCTTTACAATTAGGGGCCAGTCAAAGCCTCTACCACGAATCTACAACACATTAAAACCAGAAAAGTAAACATATGGTCATTGGAGCCTATTTTCTGCAAAATTTAAAGGAGTTTCATCCTTCTAGGGGTACTTACGTCAGAGTCCTCATGCTTATTGACCCCATGGAAATAAAATGGCTTGTTGTTAATGAGGAACTGGGTGTTGGTAACGTTTATTGTGCGGATACCAACTGGCAGAGTATACTCATCCTCATATGTTGATGTCTCACTGACTGCAATTAGGTGGACCTCGATGTTGAAGAGAAAATGTTAGAATAATCGAAACAACACAACCTGACAAATCGAGTGGCAATGCTCAGTCAAACCACATCACACTGCAGAAACACACCTACATGCCTGTGAGCATGTTGCCTTACCTTCATAGAATAAAGGTAACCTGGATTCTCGTGCATCAAGTACGGCCACCACAGCTTCACATCTACCACTTTAAGCCCTCCAGATGACCCATTGGAGGAGGCCACAAAGTGGCCATCTTTGTCCATTAGAGTAATGTTCAGAGTGTTGTTGAAGCCACCTTGAACAGATACTTTGTATCTGACAAGACCTACAATGCAGAGGAAACAGCAACATCTAATGAATAGACAGAAACTACACATTTAAAGTCTGATGTATATGATGCGGATGCTAATCTCTCTAAGTTTTTGTACATCAGTTTACCTGCTTACAAATTCTTTTGTGCTAGTAAGGATTTTAAATCACTGTGCATCACTGTATTAATTAATTTAATTTACCAGTGTTATCCATGAAGTTGGTCTCCACTGAGATGTCATCCACATGCACTTTAGGAGTAGTATACAACAGTACAGAACGATGAATCCCAGCATAGTTGAAGAAATCAAAGTCAATGTTTTGCACAAAAAAACCATCAGGATACCTGCAGACCAAACACAGTCTTCTCGTCATTTACATTCTCACTGATGCATCAGCGTAAAGTTTTGAAGTGTGGCAAGGAAGTCAAAAAGAACCCAGTATCACACAAAATGTGTAATAGACACTCTGGTCCACTGTGTCCATTTCACGCTTTGCAGGACACACGTGCAGAAGTTGCATTACTAGCAGGGGAAGATAATATATGTAAAGGCAAGCAAAAAAAATATGACGTACATTCCAGGTCCTTTACTGCAACTTACTGCAACTTCTGTTTGCGTGTACATTTCATGTTTTCTAGAGGCAAAGTGTGAAATGGACCAGCGTGCCTATTACTTGCTTTGCCATAATATTAGGTTGGACAAACACATGAACCAAAGAAAGAGCCTACCTGCTGCTGTCATTCATGTACTGGATGGTGCCTGGAGGAAGAGTCTCCAAAGTTAGGGTGTTGTTTACCGCGATGGTGATTCTGCATGGCTTTGTTGGTTCCTTGCGGATTAAACTACTAATCTCTGCCTCAAAAGGCAGATGGCCACCTTCATGCTCTGTCACTTTCTCTCCATTCACCCACTGCAACAGAGAATGATCACCGTTTTACATGAGCTGAAATTTAGTGACACACAATCTAATTTAAAATGAAGCAAGGATGTATTTTGAAACAATACATTTCTTCCTTATTTTAGCAAAATGCATGTATTACAACAGCATTAATCCACAGGTTTAATGAGTTTAGGTTCTAAACAGTCCAGACTTTTTTACCCACTGAAAACACAAAATATTAAGCAAACTCTTAAGTCGGTGAGATCTTATATCAAGAAATTCATCTGCTGCTGTACCAGATTTTTTGTAAAGTAAGCATATTTTTTCAAGAAAACATGTGTTTCGTTACATGATGTGTTTTTCTGTAATATTTTCAAATAAACAACATGATTTTTAAAATGATTTTTGTGGCGGATGATAACTTTTTATATTTGAATTTATTCAAACTTTGAGTGAATGGCTCATAAAAGATGCAGGTGATACTCACCACTATTGAGTAATAGTGAGCACTTCCCACTCTAAGAACCACTCTTGTTCCCTCATCGGAGATCCAGCGGGCCGGCACGAACACCTCTCGCTCATACCACACCCAGCCAATGAAATCTCTTAGTGTGGGGTCCTGTGTGATGTCATTGTAGCTGGCAGGAACTGGCATTTCAATCACTGGGCCGGTCTAAAGAATATAAAACAACAAAGAGAAGACAGGACTTTACAGGGATACCCATGGTAGCCATGTTTATTATATTATATTATTTATTATTAATTTTAAAGTAGACAATATACATATTCATCTAATTGAGGTCATTTTGATTCTCTGAGGTCATGGTAAGCTCCCTTCCTGGGAGTCTGGCCCTAACAAGATGAGACTTATTAATATAAAATTTCAACCTTTGTTCTCATTTTAAAAATGTTTCTTTCTATTTTTTTCTTTTTCTAAAATTGTGAATATCTTCAGCTCTAAATGTCTCTACAGACCTCAAAAGGAGGCACAGTCTGACAGGAATATATCCTATTGTGTGGCATTTAAAGGGCTGATAAGCCAAAAATATTTAGTTATGACTGTGAGTCAAACTGATAAGTTTATGCATGCCTTACTGCTGTGTTGTTTACATAGTTATTTTGTTTTTGTTTTCTTTTTTTTGGGGGGGGGGGGATCTGAATTTTTGTTTTTAATTCAGTTTAGTTTCAGTTTCAAAATTTAAAAAAAAAATTGAAAACACCAAAACCAAGGATACTTCCTCAAATATTCAATTCAAAGCATTCAAATTTTCTTTTAGATTTTCTTTTTTGGTATAAATCTACATAATTGCAAAATGTTTAAAAGTTCTTGTTTACCGAGAGTACTGTATGCGACCGTTGTATCCATGTCAACAGTAAGACAACGTAGACTGATTTGTTTCATCTGACCTATCACCTCCGATCCCGCTCACCTCTGCCAGCCGACGTTTGTGCCAAGCCTTCTCGAAGCCCTCGTTCCTGTTGGGGGACCCGTCAGCCCTGAAATCCCACAGCCCGTTCAGCTCCTTCACCTCTCTGAAGGAGGACTCCTGGGGAAAGAGCATGCCGCCGTCCAGCGGGAGCACCGTGCCAAACACTGATAGCAACCACAAGACACGGAGCACCGAGAAGCTTCCAGGTACAGACATCCTGAAGCCCTCTTCTACTGCCCTCTCGGAGAGGAAAAGAGTTTTTATCACCTGTTCTGGGGTCACATGACAGCAGGCGTTATTTTACATCGGTGACGAGATTTTCCGACTCTGCTCCGAGATTACAGAGGGCAGATGTTTCAAAACAGGTTAAGTCTGGACAAAACGGGGACACCGCAAACTAACAGAAAGTTCTAAAAAAAGTAATCTCAACTTGCATGAAGCAGGACGAACAACAGTAACCAAAGCTAAAGGCACTGAGAACTGTTTGAACTGTTTGAAACTAAGTAAATTTATTTAGGGCTTTTCAGAAACTGTCACAGAGCCCTGCACACAAGAAGAGCAAATAAGAACACTAAGTACCACAAAAATAAATATTTAAATAACAATTCTCAACAGAACTTCTAATCAAAAAAGTGTTTAGAACTGTAAAACCAATACTAAAATCTGTTGGGAGCCAAAGTCATATCGTTTTAAAAATGCAGTCGTTTCTTAAATTTAAATTATATTTAGTGACTAGAAAGGAGACAAAACATGGTTTCCTGCACTGTCATCATCATATAGAGAATTTTTTTAAATAAGGAGATTGTCATTTAAACACTAAAACTAAAAAAGAGACACTGAACAGCCACTACTACAGTCGCAAAGCGTAGGCTGTAGTTGCAGGAAGAATAACAGACGCCTTCGAAATATCAAAATTATGCATCACTGGTGGTCAGAGGGCCCGGTGGCGCCCGCCAGTGTCCGGCAGCCTCGCCTCTGTCAGTGCGCCCCAGGGCAGCTGTGGCTACAATGTAGCTTGCCATCACCAGTGTGTGAATGTGTGTGTGATTGAAAGCGCTTTGGGGTCCTTAGGGACTAACTAAAGCGCTATACAAATGCAGGCCATTTACCATTACCATTTTAAGGCCATTTTGTTTTCACCACAGAGAAATATGGTGTTAAACACATTCTTTCTTATCTGGGAATATGAATGTGAAAATGAATTTAAATATAACATAAAGAACCTTTGCCGTACAAGTAAATTATGGAAAAGCACGTCCCTGGGTGGGCTCGAACCACCAACCTTTCGGTTAACAGCCGAACGCGCTAACCGATTGCGCCACAGAGACTCGATGAAGTTGGGCGACACTTCAGGAAATATAGAAATAGAGAACTATGACAACGGTGAAAGAAGTTTATTGTCTTTGTCTTTTTTAACCGAACCAAAACGAGGAAAATTACTTTATTTAATTTATAACAAATATGAGTGAGCTTCACCAAAATGTGAAAAATTAAGGTAAAATGAGTTAAAAGAAATCTACGATTTTTGGATTTACTCAGCAAGTACAACAAATAACATTCACTGGAAGTTCGAGGCTTTCATTACATTTTCTGAGCTATAAAATATGCTATTTGGATGACTGTTCCATCGGCGACCCTCTGTGACAAGGGAAGAAAGTAAACAGCAGAAAGTAAATGATTCATTCTAGTAGACTGAACATCTTTCCAGGAATTGTGAAAATTACAATGACAGATATTTTGACCCAGTAGTTTGTGCTGTTCTAAGGTGAACTGAGCAAAACCTGGGACATTTAGGGTTTAAACATTAACAGTCAGTTACCGTAAATAACTGTAATCTCAAAGCTTTGTAGCAGTATTTGACATTTAGCATGTGATTTTATTGCTCTGAGCTTGCAAAGGAGGGCAAGATAATACCTTGTGTTGGGTCTGCCACAGAAAACTGCACAATGAGTCCCCTGACATGCCAAATCTTACTTATCTAGGGTGACCAACCGTCCTCTTTTTTTTTGCACTTGTAGACTTGTAAGAGCCTATGTGACACTTTTAATATCACCATTCATTAACCACACAGAGAAGGCATCATTTAAATATGTTAAAGTTTTCTCCTAGGACCTGGCGTCCACATATGTGGACATCACAGTTTGGGTAGTCTAGACCAAAATACAAAATTTTCCTCTACAAGGGCCTGATATCTACTTACGAGGACATTATACTCCCACTGTTCCATCGGAATTCAAAACAAATGTCCTCATTTCTCCCAGAAACAAAAATCAGGTAAAAAAATACAAATAAATCTGGTAATTCTTTGTTTTTACATTCATCAGGTCCCAATCAGCCCCTATTCATCAGCGATTTTGAAGCAAAAGAATGTCACGTCAAGAAAAGCTTGAGTAAATGTGGTCAGCCCAGCTGGACATTTGTCAAGGCTGGGAAGACACCTAAAGAAAGCTCCTGTGATCCAGGAGAGAAGGACAAATGCTGCTTAAGTGAAAACCCTTAGGCTACGTTCACACTGCAGGCGAAAGTGCATCAAATCCGATTTTTTTGACCCTACACTCAGAAAAATTAGGGTTCTTAAATGGTTCTTCAGATGTCTCTATGGTTCTTTAAAGAACCATCATACATCAAAGAACCTTTTTATTTTGAAGATGGTTCTTTAGCTATTACAAATGGTTCTTTAAAGAACAAAAGGTTCTTCATCCTTAGCTATCTGAGTTCGTTGGTGTAAAATGGCATAAATAATATTCACTTTAATGAGGGTGTGAATTATACTGTGTGTTTTGTTTGTGTGCGCGTGCGGGGGGTGGGGGCAGATGGTGGGATACTGAATATTCAAATTAAAGTTAGAAACACTTGCTTAAAAATATTCTGGTGGCAGGGGTGGGGGCCAAAGCCTAAAGACCCCCAGCACCCACCCTGCAAACCCACTGATCACAAATAATGTGGTAACAGAATATAGAATTTATTATTAAGACGTTTATGAATATGGTGAATTTATAAATTAACAATCCATTCGGGGGATATTAGACAGATTCAGATAGCTCTCTCATCTATCTATATATCTATCTATATATAGATATATATCTATATAGACACATAAATATAGCATAATGATAATATTAGTTACTGTGAACTTTACAAACCACCCAGCAGTATGTAAAGTCAAATTATAAAATAATATAAGTAAATAACAATTGCACATGTGATCTGAGTACTTGTTTATCACTGCACAATTAAAATAAATGACAGGGAGAGAGAGATAGATGGAGAGTGAGAGAGACGTTAGAACACGTCGTTCATTGATAAAGTATTGGATCTGACCATGACTCACTGTCTGTAACAGCTGCTGATAGCTACACCATTATAGACCTGTTAGTTGTGCTCTTCTCAGCTTTCTTTTGAAAGGTAGTAGCCTTTCTTTTGACTGGGTAATCAGTCCCACTTTTATCTGCTACTACAGCGTACATGCTTGCACAGAGGAAACATTTGTTCCGACTGGGAACAGGAAGCCTGATACAAAAACCAAACATGCTCCCTTTAGAACAGTACCCGCAGATCTTAGCAGAATAAGTTAAATCATAGACTTGACAGATTCGGGCTTAGATTATAGTTCACTGATTACTATTCCATTATAGTGTTTGTGTATGTTATGAAAGATAAGTGTGATGGAGTGTAAGCTTGTGGGAACCAATGTAAGCACTCCAGCCACAGTGTGGTCAGACATGAGACCACACAGTTTGACATGCCAAGGTGTATGCTAATAGAGAACAAGTTACCTACGAAGTTATGGAGTTATGTAGTACAGACAGCAGCTGTAGTTAGGATTTAGGAACAAAACACAAAACAGGCACTTTACTTAATCCTGACGGGAGGAAGGCCAAACCTTTGCAGGACTCAAAAGTTTTGAAAAGCGACAAGAACACATGAGCTTGATGCTGAAATGAGGATAAGCAAACATGGAAGCAAAAATGGAAGACAGACTTGGGGAGACAAAGGATGAAACACAAGGAGAGGAACATGGCAAGGGAGATGACTAAGACACAAAGGGTGAGGGAGCGAGATACACAGAGAGACAAATAGGAAAATAAAAAAGAGACCGAAAGGAAATAAACAGAGACTTGACTTTGGGAAATATACACAGACAAGACAGACTCTCATATAGGAAACACGGGAAGTGGACAAAGACAAGGAATGATACAAATACAAATAAACTCAGAACAATAAGCAGAACCAAACTCATAAAGCAACAGAAAGAATCATGAATATAAAATAAACTCAAAGTGCTGAGTCAAAGACCCACCATCCTGATAGCACCACTGGCGAACATTGGGCTGTGAGGTACGTTTTTTGATCATTAATTTTGAACACCAATTTTTGGCGCTGCGTGTCACTGTGGCTTTTAACCCCTAAACACGCTGCGCCAAAAATCGGTCCTGTCACAGCTGCGGCAACAGTCGTGTGGTGTAGTGAAGGAAAGGCCCAAACTGCTGGCACTGGCTGTGTTGCGAGTGAGCTTTGTTGCAGAAGGTGAACACAACAAAAGCGAGTGCAAAACGAAAACATACCCTAAACTGGGAACAACTAAAGAACAAACCTGAAACTATACAAACATGGGATGAAGAGCAGAAATGCCACGGAGAATGTTGGGCAGAGAGACGCAGAAATTACACCAGGTTACACAGACAACGCAACAAGGAACACAGGCAGGCACACACTATAAATACACACAAAGTAATGAGGGAATGACACACCAGAGGAGAACACAGCTGAATCTAATTAGACAAGACAAGGAAGGAAAACAGAATACACTAGCATGAGACAGGACCTTCAAAGTAAAACAGGAAACACAGGGAAGCCACATAACAAAACCTAAAGCTAGAACTCAAACACTAAAGTGATAAGGGGCTAGACACAGTGAGAGAGAAACCAAAACCTAAGTGTCCAAAACTCAAAAACACTGGGTCACCGACCGAGGAACATGACAGGTCCAGCCCAAGGATTGGGTCTCCCCACACAAACAGAGTAATATAGTGTAAGGTGTTAACTGCCAGGAGGATTGCCATGACTCAGTGTTTTTGTGTTTTTGGACTTTTGTAACTTATTTATTATGGGGGCGATCTTTGTTTCTTTGCCTTGGTGTGTGCTTCCTAATTTAATCATTTATGTTTCTGGTTCTTAGTGTTATGGTTCTGTGGTTAGGGTTAGGGTCATTTTAGGTCAACACTGGGCGTTTTTGAGTTTCTTGTGTTTTAGTGTTGTAGTGATATTTTGTATTATGGTAAATATTCAGGTTCATTAGTAGTCTTAGTTATGGTTTTTTGAGTTTCTTATATTCAGTGTTTAGTTCCTTGATTATTAGATTTCCCCTTGTGTTTCTGTCCTTCTGTGTCTCTCTCTGTGTGTTTGTGTTTTGTGGGTTGTGTGTGTGTCTTTGTGTCTGGTTTCCCTCCCTTGTGTTTTGTTCCATGTCTCCCTG